TACTCAATATTATTTAAAATTGTAATGAATTTCCCTAACGTAGTTAAGTGAATTATTAACAGATAAAATTGGAATAGGGAAATAATTTGTGCTGCCATTTAACTTAAGAAAAGGAGAATTGTAACACATATACTGAATGAAAAGGGCAAGGTTTGCTCAATTACATTTAACCTATCCTTTTTTTGCACATAAGTTAAGCAAATCATCCACCACAACCATGCAACGGAAAATTTGAAAAGAAATTGGCAAGTAGGTGTGTTTATTATTTCCGATAGAATAACCTAAGATGAGTTGTAGTGATACGTTTTGTGTATAACTGTACATTTAACTACCAGGACGCCTCAGTGTTCACGTCTTTCACTTCCCTTTTGATGATATGACCGTACATTACTTACAGATCTCCCATTATTGTATAGCTCATCAAGATTTCCAGTGAGACCTTGACTGCTACTACGGTGGTACTGATAACTGAATCCGATTCAAAGGGACAACTATCAAATTATCAAGCCTTAACTGGACAGAAGGAGCATCGGCTACAGATAATAAATAGGCCGAAATATGGAGTACAAAGTTAATAGAAGCAGCATTTACCTTCGACAAATACTCCAATCTTATGTTCTACAAGAATACTGTTAACAACTAAGACAATACCACACTTGAAGGACCTAAATGTGCCAGATGTACAGAGCCTGAATAACACCTGGGTAGACTACTAGGCGGCCCTAAATGGGAACGAGGTGGCAAGGCGAAATTGATGCAAGGAGTTGGATCTTCGGAGCTACATTAGTTGGTCAATTTTATTAAATATTTCTGCGTTTAGACCAGTGACATACCGAGTTTACCTACTGCAAAGGATCTTTCAACCTTAAACACCACAAAGTTAGTGAATCCCCCCTTTGATAATGTTGTTTACGATGAGGGCTGAACTTCGAATATGGGTGAATCGGTAGGGCCCACAAGTAACACTGGGATTGAATTAAAATCTGACTACTATAATTTTTCCATTTGTTGGTAAAATTTAAGGAACTGACGACTTTGTGATGGCCAAAGCGAAAAAGTGACAACGATCAAAAGATGGAGAACGGTGTAGCAATTCAACTATTGCTCAACTGTTTTTTTTACTTTTCGCGATCGAAACTTCATTTTTAGCGCGGATGAAAGGTTGTGTTTGTAGTTTTGAGCATTTCTTCACATCAATTGCTTTTTCATACCTGCGTGTTCTATCCAGACTTCTAGGAAGACCCTAAGGTGCAACAGCTCCAAGACGACAACACCAGGTCACCTGACGACTAAAATGTTTCGTAGTTATAATGTTTGTGAAAGTCGAAATACGCTGTTAATAGATCTATTGTTACAGAAATTGCAAACCAAATTCGTCTTTTTAAAGTGTACAGAAAATAAAAGCCTTCAACGTTACAAAGTTAAACTCACACAATTTCAATAAATATAATAAAAAATAAAAATTCGGAGTCTTCGAATTTAGGCTGGAATAAGATATTGAAATTAATGTAGCCATTTCCTGATTTGGGACCCGGCAAATTTAAGGGGGTGCACTCTTTCTAATGTGTGCTGATTTCCCGCGTGGTTTCTTTCCGGATTGGTGGGATATACATACCCACAAAGCTAATCATCTTAACCAACTGCCGAGTATCCGGGTGCCGTTTGGGAATGGGAGATCTACGACTGCTGACTGGGGTCGTGTGGGGTCCTGCCAGTTAACCTTGTCAGACGACGCAGTCCAAGTACGCTTTCAATTTGCGTTGCTTAAATGCATAGCTCTGGTGTCGTTTTTTCCCTGATTTAGTCCTTAAGGTATGGTCACCTTTCTCTGCATATAAAAGACAGCAAATATTATGGATCCTCCAATCTAGAATGTACACAAGTTTGCTGAACCACACTTTATCGCTGTAATCTACATTTTTAGTTATGAGGCATGATTTCTGAAAACTGAACATAGGTGCGTTTTGAGGTTGAGATTTATGGCACATTTAAGGAAGTAATTTTAGCCAGCACCTCAGAAATCACGCATAATTGGAAAATCTAGCAGGAACTGTTAATTATTTGGCTTCTAATGCGATGATTATACTGTGATTTATTTTTGGGATTCAGGTACATCCCCAACTCTCTTGCGATTTAGCTGGAGCCTTGCATCGTGCTGGATGCCCCGAACCCGTTTTGCCTGTTCATTATCATTGGAGCCAAAAAAAGGCGAATCTTTCATCTTCTTCATTTTCTAAAACCCTTTTTAAGGAGTTGGGTATCACGCAGCTCCTCGACGACCCTGTTTTTGGTGAACAAGCCTGTGCGACATTTGTTTGTGCCAAGTTTGTGACTTTTCTAAATCAGAATGTACCAAATTTGTCCAAATCACAAATGAGACGGCGGAAATATATCGAAACCCGTGCTTCAGCGGATAATACACTAAAATTCTTGGAATTAATTGAGAAATCCACATCGAAAGTTCTTTCTTCGGCCCGCCAGTCTGAAGTATTACAAAGAGCATTGGAGAAGATTGTGAACACTGTCAAAGACTTGACTGCTGAACCATCGGAGGTTGAGGAGGGAATTCGACGCGAGATATTGCGAAAAAGACGACTTAAACTCCAATCTCCTTTGACTCCTTCCCTTGGGTCTATGTTTAGGATTCCTTTTGATGAGGTGCAGGCCAAAGCTGTTTCAAAGTACCTCGGTTTCGATGAGGAGGCAAGCACAGAAACACAACCAAAATTTTCGCAATTGTCTTATCTTTCTTGTGGAATTGACCCCTTTCTTATTGCTCTATCGGCAAGGCCGGTGAATCCAGATTTCCTCGGCAGTGGCTGCCTTCGTGTGATTGGAGAGGGGAATCCTTTAATGTTATGGGCTCCACCCGCTCTGACCACATCCACCCCAAAGATATTTCTCGCTTTGCTCCCCAACGCCGTCTCATTTCCCCTCTCAACAAATCAGTATACGTCCTTTCAAGTGCCTGATGAATTTGTGGGGTCTTCCGTGTGTGAGATCGACGCCGTTCAAGTGAGTTGTTATTCAAAATCGCTTGCTAATGTGATTTACTACTTGTTACATCCCGAACGACAGTAGTAGTATTTAGTCCTCCCGACCGTTTATTTTATTATCCTAACTACAGATGTCTTATCTGAGTTCTTCACTCAACATGCAAGCTTAGATAGATTGTAATCTGTAAAAAAATCGGCAAAGGTGAATTCGATATTGCGTTGAAATTAACAGGCACAGAAATGTTTTTTTTTTCAGCTAGATGAATTTTCCCTTTATTCCATCGCCCGGAATACAGGCAGTCAGGTATTTACGAGCAGGACGAGGCTCAAGCTTCTGGACTCGGGGAGTTTGACAGTGGTGGATTGTGATCACACTCAATTCAACTCAAGCATCAACTACTACAAACCTACCTCGGTGGCCATATGCCCCTGGTGCATACATTCGGACAGATCGAGTGTAGCCTCACTCAGGTGGGCTCTCGCTGGCCGCACGCATGATCCTGTGGCTTTTCCCGATGCGCACTTGGCTGTCGTGGAACTCTTTGATGCTGGGTTAAATCGACGTCTGTGGTGCGGTCGAATTCCACTCAGCAGCGAAGGTTAGTCCGCTTCTCTATCCCTCCTGCGTGGTATGTATCTTCTGGATTAACTGCTTTTTTGTCGCTTCCAGGTGAATGCATAACCCACCTGCTGACTAACTCGGTAGCAGCATCGAGTTTGGACTTCGTAGACAAATGTTACACGAAATTTGAGGAATCAAAACGGACATATGCCAACTCTTTCCTCTACGAGAGTCTCCTCGACTACTGTCAGCAAGTTCAAAAAAAGCAGAAGGGAGGTTTTTTGTCACCAGAGCAGTTGCTTTATCGTGCGGAGCTTGATTTTCGATTGAGCCACGCTTCCACGTGGGTGCGTGTGGGTTTTGCAGACGCTCCAGGCCTACTTTGCCTTGCAACACCAAAACGACTTCTTTGTCTTGACACCCGCATCTCGGGCGCGCGAGCGGCTCAGGAGTTGTTCAACATGGCCACGAAAGTGGTCGACATGGACAAGGGGCGGTCATTCAATCCTTACGAGAGCATTTTCTACGCACAACCCCAGTGGTATGGTGACACATACGCTCTGCTTGCTACTGACTACAGCGGCTTGGTTCTGGACAAGCGCATGCCCGGACATCCCGTCCTACACTGGTCTCATGCCCTAAGAGGTCCTTTAACCTATGCACAAATCTGCGATGTCAAAGACCAATCTGGCGAATTTCCCGCACAGGTAGTGCTTTTGATTTAGGGTCTAAGTCCCTAACTTTTTGGAAAATTAGTTTTGAGTGATCTTCTGTTTGGTTTACAGGCGGCACTCGTGGCGGCTTCGCAGATGCCCGGAGAACTTTCGATTATGGGGATCAATTTTAACAGGAATATTGCCTTGCCGCCCACTGTAGTTGGACCCTGCATGACAAATGGAACTCTCACTGACATTCTGGACTGTCCACTCAACAATCTTCACAGTGGTATCTTAGATCCTCATTTTTGCAACGAGCGGTTCACCACAGGCCTGGTGGGTTCGACAGCTTATGTACTTCGAGATGAATGTGACATCAAGCCAATCGGGGTTCGTGGTCTCATGTTGACTTCCCGCGGTGACATATTCAGCGAGGACTGGTATTTCTCCGAACACAGGGCTGCAGAACTACATCAAAGCCGTGCAGAGGAGGTACGCTCCTGGTGTCTGGGTTTCAACAGTTCTAACGAACCAGAACCATCCCGATTTAAAGTATCTGGCCTTGCCGATGAGCTGCTGAATAATGTCGTTAAAACTCGCCAAAAGTCGACGAAGGCGACATTTGAGCTTTTCACGATTGAAGATGTCATTTCCGAATCTAAACGTGAATTTGCGGATCCGACATATCCCAAGGAGCTCTATTCCGACTTGTGTCAACTCCTTACCAGTGGATCTGTGCCGCCTTCGCTGTCTCTAAGCCGCAGAGATGAGGAAAAGAAGTACGACTCATTCATAGATCAGATTATTGACGAAGCCAAGAAGAAGATGAAGAAATAGGCTTTTACTTGAACGTTTACAAGCTGTTTCTATTTCGCTTCTCCATGCTGTACATTGGGATAAGTTTATTCACATTGTCTAAAATACACTTCATTTACCAATGTATTATACTAGCCGAATAGTATCTTCAAGTCTCCTCCTCGGCGTCGTCTCGCACGAAGGGAATGCCTGAAGTTAGAGGCTCATAAATTAGCGGATCAACCCATCGGTCGTTTACGAATAATAATTGATGCATTTAATCCGTCATATCGAGTTCGTGCGTATGTAGGGTTGGTCTTTAATCAGGGGAGTGTGACTCATTCTCTCTAGGCCGTTGATGCTGGTGTATTCTTTTTTTGGTTTTATCGTACGGAATAACATTTAGTTGAGCAATTGTTTGTTCTCACAAGGTAGCGCAAGAACATGTGCCAGTGAAGCATTTGAAAGAGTAAACTAGTGTCCTACTTGTTTCGTTGATCAACCATTTAGAACAGAGGTATTACAATTTAGAGACGTCAACTCTACGTCACTGGGTTAATATCGGTGCTTACCATCTAGTTTCTTTATCTTAGGTAGTTTCTTCATAACTTCATCTCTAAATGTCTCTTGGTTGTGTTCTTCCAGTGGATTTCCTATGAAGACCTAAAGTGCGCAAAGTTTTGCAGTTACCGACGAAGACGAGGTCAGCAAGAGATGGAAGTTCGTTTAGCTTGAGCAGTTCAACCCAATCTTTGACCTTGTTATTTGACATGTAAAGTACACGTAATTTCTTCAGAGAACCGAGACCCTTAAGCTTTTCAATCAAATTGTAGGATATCCATAGTTCCTCAAGAGTCTCTCCGAGTGGTTCCAACCCGGATATATTTTTTATGTTATTTCTAGCTAACGAGAGGACACGAAGGTGCTCTGATATTCATTTAGTGGGTAAAGTACATCCTTACTTAGAGAATGTAGGTTCGATATTTTTTCAATAGCGTTTGATGAAAGCGACAATCTTCTAAAGACTGTGTAACGGCAAATTAAGGCACTACTCGCATTTGGACAGCACAGATAATCCCGCATCCATTTTTTCTATTGGCGGGAATTGGGCGTAGAGTTTGACTTCAGTTGCTTCGCTCGCCTTTTGGTTCGTTTTTGCCTCCCAATCTGCGATAGCAGCTTTAATTGTTGTAGGTTTGGCCTAATGAAACCTTAAAAACCAATCCCTTTCGAACCATTTCATAAAGACGTAGCGGCTAATAACACCCTAGCAATGACTATAATAAATTTAATAAAACAAACGAAACAAAATGATCACACATCACTTAAGTAGTGCTAAATTCGAAGTATTCTGGCCCACGAAGCAACATTTAAAATTCATTAGATGCATGAAGAAGGTGATCTTGGTGCAGACTGTGAAACAGGATATTGCTTTTTTACAATTTTGAGCACTGGAGATGTATTTATTAATTAAATGTCAAACAAAGACAGTATAGAGAATTAATCAAGCAATTTTAGTGTTTTGAACATGAAATATATTCTGTTATTTAACTTAATGATCAGCTAAGCAATGAAAATTCTATTGAGCAAAGATTTCGGCATTTGTAAATTTAATTCTCACCTACCTCCTAAAGTGTAATGGCTCATTATCTTACTTACTCACGTGCCTAATTACCTGGACACTCCAGTCTCCATTAGTTGTGCTTCCACTTTGCACCTTTTACCAAAATTAGTCAGCTAACATGGTCATTATGTTGTGGCGCCCCGAGACATCCCTGAAGATGAAAGAGGACATAATGCTCATGCAGGATACATATAAATTTAACGTGCAGCAGCCTCTGGGGCTATTAGCATGCCCCTGGGGCCGGCCTATCCACTGAAGCTACAATGCCCAAGTCACAAAGTGGCCCTTAACTAAAGCCAATGTTTGAGCAACAAACGTCTTACAATATTGCATCTGAGTAGATGTGGAAGCAATCCCCATTTTTCACAACAGCGGATGAAGTTTTTGGGTGACGCATAATTCCATATCAAATATTACAAATTTCGCATTCAGTGACAAGCGTTTGTTTAGTTTAATATAGTCGTTTGCATTAACTTAGATTGTATTGCGGTTGACCAGGGGATCCTTGACCTTGTCGCAGAAGTAATTTTGAGTCGACAGCTGCGCTTTTGAAAATGGCACGGGGTGTGGCTCTGCAGAATAGGAGAGCCACACATTGTTTATGAAATTTCCGAAATTCTGCCTTGCTTTCTAAATGTTTACCACAAAGATAGTGCAACAGGACAACTAATCACTGCTCACTAATTATACCCAAAATCAACTAAGTGGTAAATTTGAAACTGCTCTTTCGTTTTGTGCGTGCTTAAAAATAATCCCTTTCTCTGTGGTATGCGTACGGGAAATTCTACTTTGATCATTGAGTCATTCCTTGGAGTTACTAAACCCC